GATCACTGCTTGAATCAACTACAATCTATTTGTTGTGCTATTCTTTTATAATGTATTAATTAATGCGCATCAAACTGTGTGCAAGATGGTCTGTTGTTTTTCAGGTATGAATACGCAAAAACACATACAAAACTTTCAGACTTCAGTGGGCAAATACCTTTAGTCTTACTTTCTCATTATTTTGTAAGTAATAGCAGAAAATCCTGATGATTTGAGGGATTATTAAGTCACATACGGTGTGTGGTGAGTTATAGTTTAAAGCACATTAGGGAAAATATAACTTGCAAGTATAAACAATATTAATACAGATATTTGCTTTAACCAGCACTGCTCATAAAAGTTCTTCGTTAATGGCTATGCAGATCCCACAACATTAGCAAATGTTCTCCAAAGTAAAAGTTTTATTAGGTTTTAAAGTCAATCAGTGGAGGAAAGTTTTTGAGAGAACTCAAATACACCATCAAACAATGTTTACCCCAGACAAAAACAGTTTCAGAGTGTAATCTAAGTGACAGTGATGTGACTGGAAAACACAGCTGCATGCTAAACAAAGAGCCATGAGGCTGTATTTACAATGTATTCAGCTTTTTAAAGCTGTGTTACAAGAAAGCTACACACAACAGTCGGAAAACAGACTAACAATTAGAAAGATTTATATGCATTATAAATACACTTACCAGCTACTTTTTTAGGGACACCTTACTAGTACTGGGTTGGACCCCATTTTGCCTTCAGAACTGCCTTAATCCTTTGTGATAAATATTCAACAAGGTAATGGAAATATTCCTCCGAGATTTTAGTCCATATTGACATGATAGCATCATGAAATTGCTACAGGTTCACGCTTTATGACATGGCGTGTTATCCTGCTGCAAGTAGCATCAGAAGATTCTTACACAGTGGTCATAAAGGGATGAACATGGTCAGCAACAATACTCAGGTAGGCTGTGGCATTGACCTGATGCTTAGTTGGTACTAATGGACCCAAAGTGTGCCAGGAGAATATCCCCCACACCATTACAGCACCACCACCAGCCTGAACCGTTGATACAAGGCAGGAAGGGTCCATGCTTTCATGTTGTTGATGCCAAATTCTGACCCTACCATCCGAATGTATACCTGGAGGGAAGAGAGTTCAGAGACTTTACAGGGGCTGCAAAAACCAAAAAGTGGTGGTTGGTGCAGAGCGACTGGAAGTGGTGCCTGGTCTGTCCACCATCCACCGGCTGCCATGTGAATAGTCGGTGATCCGGGGTTGTTACTCGTTAATAACGGAGGACCAGGGGTAAAATTCTAGGAGTTTTCTGGGAGAAATGACAAACTGGGAGGTGGGTCTGATTTACAGGAGACTCCCCGGAAATGTTGTCAGGTATGCGAATGTCACAGCAGAAATCGAGACTCATCAGACCAGGCAATTTTTTTCCAATGTTCTATTGTCCAATTGTAGTGAGTCTGTGTGAATTTTAGGCTCAGTTTCCTGTTCTTAGCTGACAGAAGTGGCACCCGGTGTGGTCTTCCGTCTCAAGGTTGGATGCGTTGTGCGTTCAGAGATTGTCTTCTGCATACCTCGGTTGTAATGAGCAGTTATTTAAGTCACTCTTTCTCTGTAATTCTCTCATCATTCATCAAAAAAGTGTGAACCCTGGGAGCTGTTTGCATGATATTGTTTGACTTAAATGGCTGTTCTGTATTTTGACTTTGAATCATTTGGTGAGTCAACACACAAGTAAACAATCAAATCCAGAGCTCTGTTAGTTAAACATCAGACCTACTCCCAGATACTGCTGATTAATCAGCCAGTTACGTAAATACAGTCCACAAACTGGTAAGGTGATACACCCAACGATGCGTGGAGCAAGAGATTGTTGGGTCATCTGATGATAAAATGAGGCAATAATATGAGCCGGTCAGTGTGGTTATGAAGAAAATACGATGACATGCCAACAGATGAACTCACCTTGCTGGATGTCTTAAAAGATATTCAAGAGCTAAGTTTAGTCAACAGCATAAGGGTGGCATAATGTTGATTACTACACAATTTTTTTTGCACGCACTGACAGTCTTTTACACTTGGCATTTTGGGTGTCTAAAACAAACAAACAAACAACAGGTTTTACTGGTTGTTTTTGGGAATGATGTTAATGTTTTTGTGTAACCCACATAAACAGTTTTGTGAAAATGGAAATGTCATTCTACATGTTCTGTCTACAGGCATGTGTGAAGATATTACAGACCTGCGGGTACATTCCAAGTATTTTCCATTCATTTTCCTTAAACTGGATTGACACACCAGGGTGTCCGCAGGGTCTTAAAAAGTATTTAAAATTGAGAAATCAATTATGAATCAATTAAGGCCTTAAAAGTTATTAAAAAGTCTTAATTGCATTTTACGAGGTCTCAAATTTTGATTGTTTACAAGTGTTGTCAAAAGAGTTTGACTCCAAAAAAGCATAAATAAATTTATTATTTCCTTCTAATACTAACAATGATGTGCTCAATCCATGCGATTGGTTCGGGCCAGGGTGTGTCCGGCCAACCTCCTAATTTGTGACCTAATTTGTGACAAACGCGGGAAGGTGATGTGACGCTCTCTACATGTAGCAAAACCATAGAGCAAAACAGAAGGCAAAATGGGAAAATGTAAGTTTGCGTACTCCTGGTTGGAGAAAAACAAGTTTAAACAGTGGCTAAAGCTGAAAACAACAGCATAATTTATTCTTTCAAGCTTTTTTTCTTCTTCAAGCTTATCTGAGTTCTGGTGCGTGGTTGTGCTCCATTGATTTATTTAACTACAACCGTTTATTAACAACTGTTTATAAAATATTAATATTGATTAGAACTTGAAGTGGCGATGAGGTCTTAAAATACTCTGAAAAGATCTTAAAGTCTTAAAAAGGTATTAAAATTAAGATTCCTGCATATACCGTGTACACAGTAAATGTCAAACTTAGAGTGAACTGAAACTGAATTTTAAAATAATGCTGAATGCGACAGGGAACATTTGATTTTGTTAGATGGTGTTTAAATTATTGCTATTGTTAAACTTCTATACTTTTTAGAGATAAGTTGACATAGTTTGTGTTATTATTCACATTTTTTTTCATTTAGGTTTTTGAAAAATATTAGAAGGCAGAGGTCAGGGCCGGACTAACCATTATGGGCATTATGGCCCAGGGGCTTGTGCACACTTGGGGGGAAAAATGCCAACAAGTGTCTGTTTAGTGCATTTATGTGCTAAGAGCACACCTCTTTATAATCAAGTTGATCTATGCTGTCTGCCTAATTTTCATCAAGAGGAGACTAATGTTAGAGAAAATACAAGAGGGGTCTGGCTGCAGACTTGGTGGAGATGCAACCTGAGCTACATGCAATGCTTTTGAATGGGCTTCCCAAATCCTACCAGTCACAGTGATGTCACTAGCTCCATTGAGTGCATTGTGTCTGACATTGCATCTCTGCAATCTCAGCTTGTATCATAAAGGCTGCATCCAGATACTATTGGAAAATACAGGGAGAGGAGGGAGACAGTATGGAATCATTAATAAGTGCGTGGATAACGGAAGACTCAGATTCATAGAACTGGATTGTAGAGGCATTATGTGTTATATGCCAATAATATGCATTGTACGTTTGAAGTTATACATTGAAAATACCCTTTCAACATATATTTTAGTACTGCATCTGAACTTGAACAAGTGTACTAAAAAACATTAATTTTCACAAGTTTTATTAGTTGTTGTTTTTTTCAAAGTGTACTTTTTAAATGCTTTAACAAAAAGTTAAATTTGTGTAGACTGTTTTAAAAATGCAGGCAATTCATTATAGATTTTATCGTTATAGATAAAATCTATTATATTATTCTTATTTTTTTAATTCAGCTAAAAAGGTGCAGCCAGTTAAGTGGCCTGGGCCTGGCATTGGTGGAAAAAGTACCATCACTTACCCCAAAATGTAGTGCAAGTAGAGTATAGCCCTTTTGGATCTACTCAAGAGTAGTGAGTAGTGAGCATTGCACTGTAAAAGGTTGATGCATTTACATGGAAATTGTGAATGTGTGTAAACGTAATATTCTGTAGTGCAGTGGTTCTCAAACTATTTTCACCAAGTACCCCCTCAGAAAAAAATTGTCTCTCCAACTACCACCATAATATCCAGGACTGAAATACTGTAGCATAGTAGACCAAATTAAGCAGCTACAGCTTTGCACAGTTCAAAAACATGGCAGATTAATTCCTATTAATGAAAGTTTTTATTATTTATTATTATTTTATTATTTAGTTTTGGTCTAATGAAAAATCTATTATAGTTTCTCAAAATAGCAACGCGCCAGCGGTCCGCCTCTGAACGCCTTTCTTTTTAGACCAGAACGCCTATGGGCACACAAATGAGCACTAATGCATTTGCTATTTAAACAGCGTAGCGCAACGCCTCAAAAGGACTCTTGCGCCAAGCTTAAACTACCAAAAGACTACTGCGTCACGCCTTGCGCCACACTGCGCCGGGTGTATGATAGGGCCCTTAGTGTCTTCTGTGTCTTGAGGTTGTTCTGTATGATGCAATTTGATTGGATGGGAATCATAAGACTGAAACTTTGGCCAGTCACCATAGACAAGGCAAAAAATAAAGTAGTGACTGCAGGTTGAAGGAAAAGAGAAAAGTAAAAAGTACCAATACAGCACTGAAAATGTACTCAAGTGAAAGTAAAAGTACACTTTTTAAAAGTACAATTCCTGAGAAAACCTACTTTATTAACGTAATTTGAGTAGTTGTAATCTGTTACTTTACACCATAGATTGAAGGTTTATCTATATATTTATACACACACACACACACACACACACACACACAACCGAAGCCATATTTGATTGTCAAAACCTTGACATTCGTTTGACATGCACACATTGACTTGTTTTGACCATCAGCCATTGATGCCTTTTAGACCACCATCATTTTGATAGTCAATTGATATCATAATGATTTGCATTATTTGTTTTTTTTAGGTACATCAAGGTGCCCACTGGGTCTTCTACTTGATGTTTTTGAAAACCAGAATATTCCCTTTAATCTTAGCTGACGGATTGTAATCCTAAGGATGGTGAAGATTGGCAGAGCAGCACCTACAGATGGACATCACAGTTGAGTTCTCCACCTGCTCCACTACACAGGCCAACTTCTCTCATTGTGTGGGTTTAAATCAGCCCAATCGCTCTTTTATTTGACTGCTAACTGGAAACAATGAGAAATTTTGTTGTATAAAGTTAACTCTTAAATTTAAAGGAATTTGTCTCACCGCTAAAACAAAACATGAGCCTATTTTTCATGTGTAACTATCTTTAAAAGGAAAGTTCACCCAAAAATGAAAATTCTGTCTTTAATACTCCTGTTTAATGTCTGCGTGAAATCCACATTGACGGTGTTTATTTTGCTAGTGCACATTGTCAAATTTTAAATGAACAATCAAGCCATCAAGTTAATACCATTGAAAAAAATAAAAGTTTGTTTTTGTCAATCAATCCAAGTCCTTCGTGGTAGTATTTCTCTGTTGACGCCAGTTTGACAGCTTCAGCCACAATATTCTTAACCAAGCCCCTCTCTCCGTTAGTTTGCTACAAGAGAATTATGCGCAAAAAGAAAGCCCCGCCCCCTACTTAATATTCCATTTTAGTTGGAAGCGCATCAACATACTGAAATAAAAGTCTCAGCAATGTCTGGTTCATGCAGACTTCTGTTGAACAAAAAAATTATATATTTTAAAGAACGTTGGTAGCTATATAGACTACCAAAGTATTTTCTTTCCCACTATGAATATCAGTGGCTACAGAATGGCAAAATTCTTCAGAATAGATGGTGTTCAACAAAAGAAAGAAATTCATAAAGGCTTGGAGTAGGTTTTCATATTTGAGTGAACTCTCCCTTTAACTCCGTGAACCTGTTCATCTTGAATGAGTCTGCTCAAAATTGTTATAATATGACCGATATTGAATTATGGGTAATTTATGTTCAGTTGTAATGACTGACATCACAGACATGGCTCCTCGTGGTTCTCGAATGGCCGCTTGATTTTTGTGCACCAGTAAATCTAATGGACTTGACGTCTCCAGCGCCCACTGACAGTGTTTTTTGGCATGAGTTTCTGGCCCAGAGATGATTTTCTAATCAACTCTAAAGATCAACAGACACACACACACACACACACACACACACACACACACACACACACACACACACACACACACACACACACACACTCGCCAGCAGCTGATTCATGCACTGATTGTGCTGAAATCTATTAAAGTTAAACTCCTGTCTCGAAAAGTCTGCAGGGCCAGAACTATGGGGTGCATTTGAGTTTGCTAAGAGCGCAGTAGCAAAGGCAATCTATTGCTTTATTTATCTTAAAGGGGGCCTATTATGCAAAAATCACTTTTATAAGGGGTTTAAACACAGTTCTGTGGCAACAGTGTGTGAATATAGCCAGCCTCTAATGCTAAATATTAATACAATGTTTTTAAAATAATTACACTTCATAAAAACAGTCTGCAAAAACACTGATTGACGTTCTCTCTTTGAACGTGTCATCAGAGAGGAAAAGTCCCACCCATTAATGACTATCTCTCCCTCATTAGCATTAACAGCCCTGAATGAAAAGCAGCCATCCGCCATTAGACTTTTCACCTGGTGAAGATAATGTCAGCGACTAAGAGGATTATAAATGTGCAGTTTTAGATGCACAAATGAACACTTTAGTCTCCATACTCTGCCTTCTTCTGAGACACTTCTTTTCACATTTTCAGTTTTTCAAAGATATGACGTTAGTCCTGTTTTGAATCTGCCACTATGGTGATACACAGGTGTTTGTAGCTCCGCCCATTTATGAAAAGAGCACAGTCTCAGTTGAATTTTAACTAACAGTTACTAAAACGTCACATTTTAGGTCAAAGCCTCTAAAAGGGTCAAATTCAAATAATTATAAAACATTATTTGTGAGGTTTTTGAGCTGAAACTTCGCTCACTCACACGCTTTATGGACATCAGAGACTTTTTTTACATTAAAAGGGGGCACAACAGGTCTCCTTTAAATGCTCGTATACCACTTTTCAGATGACTAAAAATATTTTTCACATTTTCAAAAACATAGCCAGAATTTAAATTATTATTTGCATTTAGAAATATATTTCAGTAAAATAATTAGGAAATTACAAAAACATTCTTTGTACAGTTTTGTCCATTAAAAAAGCCATTCAGTCCAAATATTTGGAAATAAACCGTAAAAATACAGATGTTTTTTTTTGAGTGTATTACATAATTTAATTCAATATAATTATATCAAATATATTTGGACTGAATGGCCTTTTTTAATGGAAAAAAAAACTGCACAAGGAATGTTTTTGTAATTTCCTAACTATTTTAGTGAAATATATTTCTATATATTTGCATGATGCATTGTCACCTGCATAAGAATATCTTCCCTCTGGAAGTCAAAATATCCAGTATATATATTATTGTTTTTAAGTAAGTTGCATTTAATGTTATATTTAATTACATTTTGTTTTCATAATTACACTTTTGAAGTTTTAAATCCACTATATTTAATATCTGATTTTCCCTTCTTTATTATCATTTATTTAGCATATATTTTAAATTCTTCCATAAAAGTTCTATGAGTAATATTTATATTAACATTTTTCGCATCCTGTGTCTTGTAGCTGATTGAAGGATAAAGAAGTGCAGATTTCAACCAGACATAAAGCCATTGTGTACCATAAAAATCCCTGACACAAGTTTTACACTCAGTCCTTGTGACATGATGAGCTTCTGTACACCTGGATCATCTCCTGCTTAAATGAATCGCCAATTACCCTGACACTTATTGCCGTTCAAGACATAAACCTCATCATGATGATTACAGTTAGCGAAAGTAAGGGCAAACATCTGAACTACCAGCAACCTGCACAAACCCCACACACATAGGCCTGTGCCAACAATAACCAACCACAGAGCCAAACGAAAAATAACACTCTTCACCGGACCACCAGTAGATTTTACAAGCCTTTATGAGTCAACTTGTTTTGCATTTTCTCTCTTTTTGTTTATTTCAGTTTGAAATATTCTCACCATTATAAACAGTTGAAGATCCGAATTATTAACCCCCCTGATTTATTCGCCCCCCCTGTTTATTTTTTTCCTTAATTTTTGTTTAACGGAGAGAAGATTTTTTCAACACATTTCTAAACATAGTTTTAATAATTAATTTCTAATAACTGATTTATTTTATCTTTGCTATGATGACAGTAAATAATATTTTACTTATACATATTTTTCAAGACACTTCTATACAGCTTAAAGTGACATTTAAAGGCTTAACTAGGTTAATTAGGTTAACTAGGCAGGTTAGGGTAATTAGGCAAGTTATTGTATAATGATGGTTTGTTCTGTAGACTATCGAAAAAAAATTGCAGAAAAGGGCTAATAATTTTGACCTTAAAATGGTTTTTACTAAATTAAAAACTGTTTTTATTCTGGCCTAAATAAAACAAATAAAACTTTCTCCAGAAGCAAAAAACATTATCAGACATTCTGTGAAAATTTCCTCACCCTGTTAAACAGCATTTGGGAAATATATAAAATAAATAAATAAAATTCTAAGGAGGGCTAATAATTCTGTCTTTAACTGTATATAAAGAATCATTTATCTCAAGGTCAAAATTGAAATTTTTTCAGATATATTGAACTACCGAAAATTGGTTGAAAACAATATATTTTTGCATGTAAAATAAAATATTTAATTTAAGGCAAAACAAAGGCAATAGAAAAGATAAATAAGCTATAAAAAAGGTAAAAAGAATGATGAATTGACTCATACAGGCACATTAAATATTCAAGAAGTAAAATACTGTTTTGATATTGTTATGCAATTTTTATTTCCACTTTTTCCACATTTTTACTTTCGAATTTTTACATCCACTTCCAATCATTTTTACTGTCCACAAATGATCAGGTTATTGATAAAGATTAGGAAATCAGGTGTTAAAAAAAAAATTATTATATATATATATATATATATATATATATATATATATATATATATATATATAACGTCAAATTGCTTTAGAAACAAATTAAAATAGAGTGTAAAAGAGTGGACATGTGTTTATAATTTTAGTATAACTATAAATTATATCGATTCCACAATTTAAAATTTTGAAAATACCTATTTTATCTTATATACAACTTATATACGGGCTGATTTATCAGAGGTTAGTGGAATGAACCGCCAACTATTCCAGCATATGTTTTATATAGTGGATGCCCTTCCAGACACAACCCAGTACTGGGAAACACCCATACATATTCATTACACACATTCATACACTACAGACAATTTAGTTTATTCAATTCACCTATTTCAATACACCGGAGCACCCAGAGATGCCAACTGACCCAGCCGAGACTGTGACAGTGCTAACCACTGAGCCACTGTGCCGACTACAGGCTGTTGAATGCTTAGTTCTGATTGGCTGAGGACATTCTACAGTGTAGAATTATTTCCAGAAAAACACACAGCTGAGGTAGTTTCATGCAGGTTTTGGTTTAAAGGTTCTGTGAAATATGCAATGTTATTCTATGTTTGACGTAATCTCAACCGAATCAAGAAGAGAGCGTGGGCCATAAACAGGGGAGGGCTGGCCAAAGGGAGCACCAGGACATTTTCCGGTGGCCTGACGATATCAGCCTACAACTGTCAAAAATCAAAACAAAACAAAAGGAAGAGATGAGTAAGAATCTGACAAATATCCTAAAGTACAACATCAGAACAGTGCCTTTAGGTGTGGTTACTGTAGTGTAAGTAAAATAATTGACTCTGGTTCATTGAATTCTTTGAAAACAGAGGTGTAACGGCTAGTACTTCATGTTGAGGCTGCATTACCACCTCAGGTGTGCAGTATTTTTCTAATAATTGAACGCCTTGTCATCAATCAATTATTCCTCACAAGCATAATAAAAAACACCACTACACTTTAGAACCCAACAGTCAACTTTATCAGATAAAATGAGTGTAGTTAACTCAAAATTTTATGAAAGTTAATTCTACTCATCTGAAAAGAGTTTTAAACTCATTGTTAAAGGTAATGAGTTAATTAAGTTTACAGTACGCATGTAGATTCATTTTTTAATTCCAATAGCAATTGGTTTTCTCAAACGGAGTTTCGGGTTTTCAGCACTCTGTTGGGTTTTAATGTGCTCAAATTGCTTCTTTTACTCAACTGTTCACAGTACTCATTAGGATTAGTTTTTGAACTTGGTTGTTGCAATCAAAAATGGTTTGTTGCAATTGGTTTCCTCAAACCATTTGAGTTACCTTAACTTTTTGGGTTTTACAGTGTATAATAGCTTGTATATTGTAACTATAATACATAAAGCTAATATAAATACAAAAATATTAAAGTTTTTTATATGGTTTAAATACAAGGGGCAGTTAAAGCTGTTATTATTAATTTTAATGTATTTTTCTATAATGTTCTTTTTTTGAAAAATAAATAATAAAAAACACTAACGGCTCTATTTTGACGATCTTTGCGCAAAGTGCGAAGCGCAGGGCACAAACGCATTCAGGGCTTGTCATAATCCACTTTTGCTAATATAAGGACGGAAAAATCTGCTTTGCGTCATGGCGCATAGTCTAAAAGGGTTGAGCTTATTCTCTTAATGAGTTATAGGTGTGCTTTGAGAATAAACCAATCAGAGTTTCATCTCCCATTCCCTTTAAGATCCAGTTGCGTTGCGCCATGGTGCATTTGCTATTTACATGATGACTTTGTAAATGGAAAAACTGAGTGTTTCACTAGCAAGAAAACAGTTAAACAGAGCATCTGCAGCGCGAGAATGAGAGATAAGGCCTCTCATTATCTACTTTCACTTTCGCTCTCGTGGATAGGGAAACCTTGTACGCACAGACATCAATTAGCCTATAAATAATTAATTTCGTTTGTTAAGCACAAAGATTTGTTTTAGAACTATTTCTAAATTCAGTTTTAATTTCCAGCAAACGAATAAATTCACAATAATAACGAAGTGTGAACGAAGTTATATCCAAATACACATGCTATGCCCCATATGGTCTAAAACCTGACAGGTGGACAAATCTAAGCTTGTTTTTAATAAAACAAATATAATTATGGATATAATAAATAATACTGCTAACAATGATAACATTATACAAAAGCAATTTGTCACGAATAAACTGAAAAAGCCCCCTGAGAGGAAGAAGGCATGAGAGTATGGTTTATATATATATATATATATATATATATATATATATATATATATATATATATATATATGTAGGCTAGAAAATAATATGTTTTGTAATATTTTACCCTTATTTCATATATATATTTTTCCCAGGAATTGTAATTTATTAAGTAGTTTAAAAAATTTGTACTTTTACTTTTCCTTGAGTACATTTTTAGTGCAGTATCTGTACTTTTACTCCACTACTTTCCTTCAATCTGCAATCACTACTTTATTTATTTCTTGTGTATGGTGATTGGCTAAAGTAGAAAAATCAGTCCTGTGATTCCTGTCCAATCAAATCGCACATAGAAAGTAAATCGCATGATACTGAACAACATCAACACATGGGTGCTTTATAAATGCAGCAAACCTTTTGGAAGCATTAAACATGTCCAAGAAAGTGTTCAAAATCTTTACACATATTGACGCACAGACTTTTGATAGACTGGATGTCACTGATGAGCAAATAGATGTTGACTGTAAAAAAAAAAAAAGGATGTTAACTGTATGGTGACTAAAATCACCAAACAGCCTTAAACAATCACTAAATGGAACAAATGAAAAATGGAAGGAAGGACAGAACGAAGGAAGGACCAAATGAATGAATGAAGGATTCAAGGAAGGACTAAAGGAAAGTAAGGAAGGATGGAAGAAACGAATGAATGAACAAAGGACCTAATGAAATAAGGAACAAAAATTATGAATGAAAGAACGAATGAATGAGCGAACAAATTAAGGGAAGAACGAAGAAAGAACCTAATGAATAAAGAAAGGAACGAACAAATGAATGAAGGACAGAACAGAGGACGTAATGAAGGAAGGAACAAAAATTATGAATGAAAGAACGAATGAAAGAGCGAACAAATTAAGGGAAGAACGAAGAAAGGACCAAATGAATGAAGAAAGGAACGAACAAATGAATGAAGGAAGGACAGAACAGAGGACATAATGAAAAAAGGAACAAAAAACGAACAAACAAATAACCAAATGAATGAAGTAAGGATTCAAGGAAGAACTGAACATACTAAGAAAGGAAGGAAGTAACGAACAAATTAATAAATGACCTAATGAAGGAAGGAACAAAGGAAGGACCCAAATAATGAAGGAAGGAAGGAATAAACAAATAAATGAAAGAAGGACAGGACAAACAAACAATGGAAGGTTGGAAGGAACAAACAAATATAGAAAGTCCACTAAATGCACTACTGATTTTTCAGTACTCTGTCCACCACTGCAGATAACTCAGTTTTAGTGATTTTAAGAAAGCATGTTTTCATGTTTTATATTGAACAGTAGAATTTCAAAACAGCACAAATTCTGTTTCATGCTTGTAAAAACATTAAAACACTTAATAATACAAATAACATTTAATGAAGCACGTCCTATTCGGCAAAAGTCAATTGACATGATTTTACTGTAATCTGGCTTTGAGGAGGTATGAATGTACAGAAATTTAGAGATGTATTTTTAGTTTAGTTTATTTGTTTACAGGGTCAATGCACATTAATAAACATTACTGTAAAATGTGCCAAAATTTTTCATCTGTAGACCCCTTACAGAATGTTAAAAAGTCACATCTAAAATAGAAGCACAACATTAAACATTAAATACACTTTCATATAAAAAATATAGTTAAAAAAACAAGATGAAATGTAACCATTTTATCCCTGTTATCTATTATACATGTCTATGGATTTAACTCTTTAAGCACGGTTAGTAAGGGGTGACAAAGCATTTATTTATTTTGAAGGCAATTCAATTATTGGTGGGGACATTTCAGTTATTGGTGTGGGATATGTCCCCTCCGTCCATGCCAATTCCATGCCCTTGATACAACAATGTAAAACATACAGTAAACTTACACAATCCTTTACACAACATCCATTTAGGATAAACAGAAAGAAGAGAGAGGGAAAACACATAAAATATAAATAATACAATTCTGATGTAAAGAAATATATGAAATTTCTCCGTCAAAACAAGCCAATTAATCATTCTCCTATGTTCTACTTCACATAAGAGAATGTAATAATTGCCCAAAGACTGTATGGTATTGCCCCATAAAGATGACGTCATGCTGCAGATCCGGAGCTGTGACGTCGCACATTCTCGCGATATCTCGACGTAACCAGGTTTGTTCACCACCAGTCACCCCCCTCTCTTTCGTACCGTACCGTCCCCTCCCACGCCCCAGCGCGCCGAGTCGGGATAGTGGCAGTATAAAGTATATCTTCCATCCGAGACAGATAAGAAGCGCCAGGCTCGAGGGGATGAAGATGGCGGACGCCAAGCAGAAGCGGAACGAGCAGTTAAAGCGCTGGATAGGCTCGGAGACGGACCTCGAGCCGCCCCTCCTGAAGAAGAAGAAGACGAAGGTGAAGTTCGACGATGGCGCCGTGTTTCTGGCCGCCTGCTCGAGCGGAGACACGGAGGAGGTGCTGCGAATGCTCGATCGCGGCGCCGACATCAACTACGCCAATGTGGACGGGCTCACCGCTCTGCACCAGGTAAGAAGAGCGTTGCGTTACGGACTGGCCTGTGTGTGAGGACGACCTGTGCATTTTGGGTTGTGTTTACTCAGTTCGACACCTCCACCACCATCATCATCATCACCATCTTCGTCGGGCCGTTTTGCGGAACCGCGTAGCCGCTGAAGCTAATCGGACAGTGATCGAAATGGATATTTGTTTTTTATGTGCTCCGTGCTGGTTCGGGCATCTTAGAATAATAACATATGTGCAAATGAGTGTGTGAAGGGGGGGAAATGACTGTCGGGTTGATTCTAGGGTGTTTGTGTGTATGTGTTAGCTGCTGGTTAGCTTGTTAGCCGCTCAGATCATAGAGTTTTATGTGTCAGTAATTTTACAGGTTATTAACTCATGGATAAACTTATTAATGAATGTGTATGAGTTGTGTTTAATGTAAATTTAAGGAGCCGACTTGTAAATGTGTTTTGATGCGCTGGTCACCATTGAAATTATGCTACATAAGTGCATAGCAACCAGTTAGCACGGTTGTGTATTTGGGAGAGAGGCTTTCCAGTTGACACGTATGTTGCGTTGCAGATTATTGACCCAAAATGTTGCGTTTATGGAGGAAAAACTCTGTCCAACTTGACTTCAGTGTGAAAGGTCGAATATTATAAAACTAGACTGATTGCAGAATTAATAATTGTAAAGAAGTTAAGAAGTAAAATGTTGTGATGCTTTGCTAGCTTTCATGTTGTTCCAAACCGATTTTATTTTTGCTTTTTGTAACACAGAAAATGAGGGTTAGGTGACTGACAGCTCCATTCATTTATATGACATCATATCCATACAGTGAAGGCAGCGACGCCGTCGGTTATTAATACTCACCTCAAGATATACAGGTGCAATAACAAGGATATAAAGTTTGGAACTAAAATTGTCTTGATGAAGTTACACCAATTGTTATTCATTGTTTGGATGAACTGTCACTTTACTACGTTGTTTCTAAGACCGTGTAGCTGTTCAACTTGCTGCTAATTTTTGAGCAAACTTGTTTTTCTGACGAAGAAAGATGAAAGTCTGCGTGTTTACAGCTGAATTTGAGTCAATGTAAATGAGGGTGATATTAAAAGGCTGAATTTACGACCCTAGATGGATCATATTTACAAGTTAATGTTTGTATTTTCTCTTTGTGAGCTTTTGTATTTAAACAACTTTTTTTTGTGTTACTGGCACAATTACACTAATCACCACTACTCTTCAATGCATCTTTTTTCATACAATGACTGACATTGCTGTCAGTTCTAAAACTGTTTAAGTTTACCAATCCCAATTTTCATTGTTAGTAAACCGTCACTTTAAAATACAGAATTCTTAGCTAGACTGTAAATATCTTTAATGATATGTGTCGCATTAGTTTCGTTGCTCAGTTTATAACATGCCACTGATTTTTGTGAAACTATGCATAAAAGATGGATGTTTGTTAGTGGCAGTTCTTAATAGTCAGTCAGCTATATGAATTTGTTTAGAAATGTATGTAAATAAGGTTAACATAAAAACATTGACTACTATGACCCTGATTTGGTCGTAATTCTAACGTATTCTAAACTATCTAAACTACATATTTGAGCATTGCTGGCGCAATCAACATGTTCACGGTCTGATGTAAACATTACTTAGCCCTCTTGTTGAAATTCAAATTAGCTTATAGTCATGGGCTGGTATGAGTTAAGTTTCTGACGTTATGATAACCTTGGATAAAGATATCACGGTTTCACAGTATTGTGATCACTGCTCTAATATATGTTCTTTTTAAATGTCTGGGTAAAAAACTTTTGAAGACAATATATTTTATTTTCACAAACATTTCAAATATTTTGGAGCAGTAAACATGTCAGGCTGAATAATTCAAATGAATCCTTGACTTCTGCTGTCTTCATTTGTTTTTAAAATCACAGAATTCTTTACAAAAAGTAAATAAAAATCTTACATATACCCTAGGAACGGTATAGCAGAAAATTTTGGTAATTGTAAAACCTTGACTTTTCCAAACCGCCGTATACCTTGAAAACCGTTATCGTCTCATGCATATTATCTAAGCTTTTAGAATTAAGCTTGACATCACAAATATATTCAGTAGTTGTTAGCTCCACAAGTGTCACAGTATTTGAGCTGGATAGAAGATTGTAAAGCACCGCAGAGAGTTTGATGTGGCTGTAAGTGACTGCAGGAGGTTGTCTGTACAGGCTCATGCGTTTAAAAGCACTTGCCTTTTTTTGGGCCGGTGTTCAGGCAGGGGGAGGAAAGAATTTGGATGCAGCTCTTGAGACCTACCGATGACTGGAGAGGCTCTTTTTCTCTATTGGGTCTGCTCCGTGTGTTTATGTATGTGGACGTGTGAGGCAGCGGAGAGTTTTAGCATGTGACCGGCCGGCAGTGAGTTCATAGCGAATGGTATTTGTTTTTAAACACGCTATTAAAGACGCACGCGTTTAGTTGTGCTGAAGGCATTTTGTATATAAATGATGTGCATCTGGGTGCTCTGTAAAAATGACTTGCTTTTTATATGATTGCGTCAATGCGAAATGAGAACTTTTGCATGTGGCCGCAAAAGTAAAGCACAGGTGTCTTTATTTTGTAAATAATAAACTGCAGTTAATATTGTCATTTTATGTGACTTGCAGGATCATCAGGAAAGATTATTAAAATTACTTTTTGAATGGGTGAGAATCTTATTTTTGTCTTTTCTTGTCAGATTTTATGTTTGCAGCTTTTTTCCAGCATAATCTGCCGATGCTATACTGATCCAATTATTTATATAACTCTGTATTCATTTCTTTAGCCTTTACAGAATAGTATTTTATATAAATAATGTTGTAGTTCATTTTTTTATACAGTTGAGGTTTAGAATATGAGGAAGGATATAGTTTTATTCTTTATAAAAGTCTGAAGCTAACATTTGGAAACCGGTACATAATAAGGCTCAGGGATGTGACAAACCAATCCTTATATTGACCACATAGAAAGGACTCTATTTCTTTTTTACATTATAAAGTATGCTCAAAAATGAACTCATTCATATGTGATTTTTTTCCCTAGTTCATTTCGAACTTTAGGACAAATATTGGAGAATGTAGAAATATGAAATGAATACAAATCGCTTTTCAAAAGCTAATGGTCACAAGCCCAGCATACCATATTGCTAAAAAAGATGCCAAATGTAAACATTGAACTTTCAAGCTTGCAAATTCATCCTGTTTTTGCCTGCATGCACTTCATAATGGTGATTATGATTGTGATCATGAAAAAATATTACTATTACCAAAAACTGTAATTTTTAACATCACAACACAATCGACAGAGCATAATATGGAAAAAGACTCTTTTTTTACACACAATATATTCATATTGCACAGCCCTTGCATTGTACTAGAGGTTTAACACTTCATTGATATGAGTGAGTCAGTAAATAATATTAATCATTTGATTGATGTGATATACAGCCTATAAAATGTATCTGATATTTTATTATAGAGTAAATCTATGGGTCCAAGACAGTTTGGTGTTTGCACTGTGAAATTGCATATTTCAAACTTTTGTGAAACTAAAATGTCAACACACACTGAATGACATTTTTACTTGTGTAAAAATGAAACGTGCCTATTTTGCCCTTTTGAAATCTATTTAAGACTAATGGACCAAGCTGAATTGTTTTAAATTGTAATTATTTAAATTTTTTTGGACAAATTAGTTAAACTAATTGGTTTGCAGGCTAGTGATGGTCTAAAAATTTAACATCACGATTTATTCGTATTTTTGTTCTGATCCTTACATAAAGTCTTTTAATACATCATTAATTGACTGTTTCTTGATTTAAATATACCTTACCAATTTTTTTAAGGAAGTTTTGTTACAGTTGATGACATTTTAGTGGGCGGCTTTTGCAAATCATAGAGAAAGATAGGATAGTTATGTTTTTCTCAGAAAGACCGTTGTCTTAGACCATATATGTTTATGTCTATCAAATTTCGCAGAAGGTTCAAGCGCAAAACGTATGCTTCAGCGCAGCCTACGTGTGGACGCATAGCCCTCGCCATGGCTGTTGGCGTCGCTAACAAGCACCTCTCAAAAACTGTAACTAAACGACGCAGCTATGCGTAGCACAAGCTCTGTGATTGGTCAGCTTTGTAGCGCTGATGAGTGTGGGCGGAGGCGAGAGCTGCGCAAACCTGATGCAGTGAGTTTTTACAAGTGTGGAGTCCCACGAAGGAGCTCCCGATGGAGGCTGTTGTTTTTGTGTTTACCTCATGGTTAAAGTTGTTGCACGTCCGCCGATTACTGCCTCAAAACATGCAAGTTTAAACCAGTTGTACATTTAAGGAAGCATTCAGAAAAAACAAAACACCTGCAAAGAAACTCGACACAGAGGAACATAAACAGCTACTGCCAGCTGGCGTTTCGGAAGTGTTATTGCAGAGTAACACAAAAAGCGCGCAGAAATATAAATGCACAGCTACACACACTGCATGTGCCATGGGTGACGTCGATCACTTGACGCAGAAGTATAAACCAGGCTTTAGGAGTACTATATTTATGCAGTTTAAAGAGTACAGTCAGCTCGCAAGATTTTTCTCACTGTATATTTATTTCTTATTGCCTGACTAGGGATATCATCAAACATTTGATGATCTCATGGGCTTTTATGTGCGAAATGGGAAACAGTATTTGCAATTTTACATTGAATTAAATGTCCATCTTTTATTTAGGTTACATTAGTAGTGCTGGGATAATAAGCAGATAAAATCGATTGAAGACCTCTAATTTAATCAAATTTTATCAAGGCAATGGGCAAATGTTGTATTGCTGGCAAAGAGAATCAGTGTCACAGCATATTGTGATGAAGCATTCAATTTACAGCCCTACACACCACTAGACAAAGCCGAGGATTTAACAAGCTGAATGTTACTCAGAATGATTAATTACACTTTTATTACGTTCTCTTATTTAAATGCATGACCGTATTTGTGCACTGCAGACCT